TCGCCACCTCCCTGGTGCCCGCCGCCAAAGACGCGCGGGAGCTGGGTGTGGATCTGCGGCCGCTTGCTGAAGCTTTTGCTACAAGGAGGGGTTCAGGGTTTAGGGTTTAGGGTTTAGGAAGAGGGCCTTATAAGTAGAGTTACAGGGGTCCTAAAATGAGGTTTGTAGGGTTTAAGGGGATAACTTGGTCAAGAAGTATATGATTTGAGGGTTCCTCTACATGGAGTTCGAGCATGAAGGGTGGGAGGGAGTAGTGCATGCCAGCCCGTGCGCCGGTTTTTTTTTTTTGCATAGGTTTTGGGATTTTGAAGTGCTGGGAGGGTTTTTTTGGAGGGTTTGGGTTGTAGATTCTTCTTGTGGTTCCTGGACTTCGGGATCCCAAAAGTCGAGACCCTAAACCCTAAACCCTAAACCCTAGACCCTAAACCCTAAACTTCTAAACCCTAAACTTCTAAACCCTAAACCCTAAACCCTAAACCCTAAACTGCGCATGTCCTGACCTGTAACCCCCAAACCTGCACATTTTTGGCTATTACTTGTATAAGGTAAAACCCGCACGCCGTAGGCAACTAGAGGCCGAGGTAAACCCTTCTAAGCCCCAAGCCCTAAACCGTAACCTTATAAGCCCTAAACCCTAAACCCTAAACCCCTAAACCCGAAACCCTAGCCCGAAACCCTAAACCCTAGACCCCGTAAAGCCACCAATTTGAGTTGAGGTATGCGGAGGCCGTAGTTGAGCTGGAGAGGCGGCTGGCAAACCGCACCTTCCGTCATCGCAGCTCGGCCTCCTGTTCAAGCTGATCTCAGTATGGTTCTTAGCACTGCTTTCGGGTTTAGGGTTTAATGGTTGGTTTAGGGTTTAGGGTTTAGGGTTAGGATTCAGGGTTCAGGGTTTGGGGTTCAGAGCGTCTGTAGAAGACCTTTCTGAGATACGCAGGGCACCCAGCTCCCATTTCTTCGAATAAGAGAAGGAGTTGGGTAGTTGCAGACATCCGAAGCCTGAACGCGACCCACAAAAAGCCTTACTGAGTATGGCCTTTGGCTCCCTAAAAATGGAGAGAGGGAGAGAGAGAGAGAGAGAGAGAGAGAGAGAGAGGGAGGGAGGGAGGGAGAGAGAGGAAGAGAGAGAGAGAGAGGGAGGGAGAGGGAGGGAGAGAGAGGAAGAGAGGCGCAAGCGAAGAGAGGTACAAAGGCACAAGCCTTGGGGGAGTACTACCAAGAAAAGCAAGAGAAGGAGAGAGAGAGAGAGAGAGAGAGAGAGAGAGAGAGAGAGAGAGAGAGAGAGAGCGAGAACCACAAGAGAGAGAGCGAGAGAGGTGGAAAGAGAGAGAGAGAGAGAGATAGACAGAGATAGACAGAGAGAGTGCGAGGGCTTAGGGATTTCGAGGCTTTGGTGTTCTGGGCATTCCTAGTAGCTACTTTGCATCGCGTGGTACTTAGTATAAGTAGTACAGGTTTAAGGCTCAACCCTAAGTTCTAAACTCTGCATTGAAACCCTCCAAGGCTTCCAGCATCCTTTGATGCTTCTTCGCGTGGGCTCCCAACTCCGGGGGGGACGGAGGGGAGTCGGTTTCAGCGAACCCCGGACCTACGAGTTTCGGTTTGAGGGTCTTCGGGCTTCCCAAGCCCTAGCCCTAAACGCGATATCCTGAACGCCAAGCACGAGACGATCATTTGGTCATGACCCGAACACCCTAATACTCCTAATGCCCACATACCATTGCCCTGTCACCCCGTGTACCCTAGTCCATAGCGCCTAAACCTCGGGCTCGGGGTGTAAGGAGCATTCTCTGCGCTGTTCCTAGTTACTACGCCCGAAACCTCAAACCCTAAACCTTGATTACTAGGACCCTTAGGAGACCCGAATGTAGTGCACTTCTCGTTTCGGGGTAAAGCCTACATCCTAAAACTATAAAGTCCAAAATCCCTAAATTCACAGCCCTTAATTAAGCAAGGGATATTGTCCTAAACCCTAAACCCCTATATCCAAAGCCTAAAAACCTTATTTAAGGGGTGGTGGAGTCTTTGGGTGGAGTTTTGCATCTGTACTTGAAGGTAGGGTTAGAAGTACCCTAATTCAGGTTCTAGTATAGGTTACCTTACTTATGTCCCAAAACCCAAAACCCAAAACCCCAAACCCCAAACCCCAAACCCCAAACCCCAAACCCTAATCCCTACCTATAGCTACCCATGAACCTTCAAAGAAGCCAGGCTTCCTCACGTGCACCACGTCCGTGGAGGAGGCTGAAGCAATGCTGGTGGCATCTGAGGCCTACAAGGGTTCACTTGATGAGGGCTTAGGGTTTAGGGTTTTAGGGTTTTAAGGTTTTAGGGTTTTTGGGTTTTAGGGTTTTAGGGTTTTAGGGTTTTAGGGTTTTAGGGTTTTAGGGGTTTAGGGTTTTAGGGTTTTAGGGTTTTAGGGTTTTAGGGTTTTAGGTTTAGGGCTTTGGGCCACAAAACAGTACTAGGAGGACCGGGGGAGTTACTAGTACTTGTGAAGATCGGGGACAAACAGTAACTTCAGAGGCCCTGAGCCCGAAACGCCCTCAGGTGAAAAGGCGATTAAGTAGGCTTTTTCGCTTCGGGCTTTTAGGGTTGAAGGGGCTCGTGATACATACTTTTGGCAATGGGGTTCTTATGGAAAGGTAAAAAAAAAGGATTCCGCGAAGAGGTTCCTTCGAGCGACTCCCGTGCGGTACCATGACCTAAGAGCTTCTCCCAACGCGGCCTGCGTTCAAAGTTTTACGACACAGAAAGTTCGGACGTGTGTGTGTGTGTGTGTGTGTATGTGTGTGTGGAATTGGGGACCTGGAGTACAACCCAAAAACCCGAAGCGGTTTATCGCTACATGGGCCCCTTGCGAGCCAAGTCGAACCCGCCGGGTAAGGATTTACAGGGTTTAGGGTTTAGGGTTTAGGGTTTAGGGTTTAGGGTTTAGGGTTTAGGGTTTAGGGTTTAGGGTTTAGGGTTTAGGGTTTGCTGTGATAGGGCGTAGATGCTGTGAAGGTTAGGTTTCGGACCAAGCTCGAAAGCTTCGTGAGGTGCGAAGCTGCGGCGAGGGGTCCTGGACCCCCTGGGCTAGGGGTTCGGGGGGTACCCCCCCCCAGTCTAGGGTAATTGCCAGTACTGGTCCCGAGGAGAACGTGTTCCGGTACCGGGCCCATCGTGGGCGCTACCGACCCCCATGCTGTGGGAGGCGGGCGAGCGACCTGGGTCGGCTTGTGCCATCCCAACGTAGGGGGGCGGCCTAGGCCCTGAGTTTAGGGGGATCTTAACGTGCCTACGTCGTCGCGCGACGTTCAGTGAAGACTTTGCCTGAGCCTAAATCCAAAGAACCCCGGGTGAACTCCTACAGAGGGAAGCCCAGGGTTTAGGTTGAGTGTTTAGGGTTCAGGTTTTAAGAATACAAGTACAAGGGCCCTTCTATGCCCTACTTTATGCTAAGTTCCTGAACGACTGAGCATCCTCTTGGCCAGGAGTGGCGGCAAGCGGTAAAGATAGAGTCTATCATGCAGGACCAGGGTTTCAGGTTTAGGGTTTAGGGCCTAGGGTTTAGGGTTTAGGATGGTTGTGGGGTTTAGGATTCGCTAAACCCTAAGCCCTAAACCCTATACCCTAAACCTTCAACCCTAATTGAGGGTTCTCGGAGTCATCTGCTGTTTTCTAAGTTGGGCCTGTAAGGGCCTATAAGCCCCTGTCACACCACTGCTTTCTGGAACCTGGGTTTTGGGGTTTGGGGTTTTGGGTTTTGGGTTTTGGCTGTTTTGGGGTCTCGGGTTCGAAGTGTAGGGTTTAGTGTTTAGGATTTAGGGTTTAGGGATCTGTCCCGAACCTGGCGCAGCCACTGCAGCATCCCAAAGCCGAAAAACATCGTGACGTGACCTGCACTTGGCAGACAGACCCTTGGTGGCCGAGTGGTAAAGGTGTTTGAGGGCTTGGGTTTAGGGTTTAGGGTTTAGGGTTTAGGGTTTAGGGTTTCGGGTTTCGGGTTTCGGGTTTCGGGTTTCGGGTGTAGGGTAGGCTTTAGGCTTTAGGCTTTAGGCTTTAGGCTTTAGGCTTTAGGCTTTAGGCTTTAGGCTTTAGGCTTTAGGCTTTAGGCTTTAGGCTTTAGGCTTTAGGCTTTAGGCTTTAAGATTTTAGGCGTTAGGGTTTACGGTTTGGGGTGAGTGGCAAAGGGGTTGACGGCTTTCAGGGCTTTTGTGATATAGGGTTTGTGGCTTCTTGCTAGCTGAGTGGTGTCCTTTTGCCCTTTTTTTCACCAACCCTAAACCCTAAACCCTAAACCCTAGACCCTCAACCCTATACCCTAAACTCTAAACCCTAAACCCTAAACCCTAAACCCTAAACCTTAAACCCTAAACCCTAAACCCTAAACCCTAAACCCTAAACCCCAACACCATCCCACGGTTGCCGACCAAGGACCATGGAAGAGGTGTGCCTTGATGCTCCGATGGTGCCCGGGCTGCAGGAGCCAGCTCTCACTCCTGGCATGCAGCCGATCGGGGAAACCCAGCCCGCCTGCTCGACTTCAAGGTGGGTTTAGGGTTTGGGGTTTAGGGTTTAGGGTTTGGGGTTTGGGGTTGAGGGTTTAGGGTTTAGGGGTGTTTTGGGTGCCAGCTCAAGGACAATCATGTTTACGAAAATGGGGGATCCCTAGAATAGATCCCCAAATAGTAGGATTCCCTTACAATAAGGACTCCGAATAAGGTACCCTAATTCCGGAAACCACCATGTTTTTGGAATCGCTTCTACTTGGTGCTAATTGTCTATTAGACTAATGTGTAGCCGGGGTTTCTGAGAACAGAGAGCAGCATCAGGCCCAGTGCCGCGCCCAAGGCCAAGGCCGAGGCCAAGGCCAACCAAGGCCAAGGCCACGCCGGCCGCACCCCCAGCAGCCCACCGAAACCAAGAGTGCTCGGACCTTTTGATGAATTCCTTGCTGCCCCCCCCCCCACCCACCCGCTCCAAGCAAGAGTACAGTGGAGCAGATGGTGGCATACATGGCCAAGATCGGCAAGGTCCACATGACTTTCTATCCAGGCGGTGGCGACGAATGGGAGGAAGATGAGGCAGTCAGCAATTTTCTTACGACAGGCAAGCCGAAGTTTCGCATAATGCAATGCACTTCGCACACGGAGCGTCTCCAACTCGCATTGTTGGACGAAAAGCACGGAATGGACGCAGCTTTCCTCGATGCGAAAGAGAAGTCCTTCCTGGATGCGATGAGCCAGGATGAAAAGCGCAGAATGTTCTCTCTCACAGATGAGGACATGGAGAGCTTGGACGAAACAAAGGAAGGCGAAGACATGAAAATGCCAAGCTTGCCATCTTCGTCCTCGTCATCACAACAAAAGAAGACGCGTCCCTACCCTTTGTCAGAGCCTGTGGAGCACCCGGGGGAGGTAGCAGACATCATCAAGGACACTTTGAGCCGGCTCTTCAAATGGTAGGAGGAACACCATCCAAGTGGCTCTAGACTAGGCCCCTGGTACCCGCTCGGGAGATTAGACCTGTGGTCTGAGCCACGGACAACAAGCGGGAAGCATGGCCCGCGCAGTCATTCTGTTTCGGGCACCTGCTTGGCAAAACGAGAGATTAAGACAGAAACTACCGGAGGCATTTCTCACAAAGTCAGTCCTTGCAGGGCCCTCTGTTCCATGAATTCGTTTGTTGTCGACAGAGATGAATGGCCTTTGTTATTGCAACTTGTCCTTGCACCGGTACAGGAGCTGTGTCGCCCTGTTTAACTCTAAGGGTTCGGGGTTTCTATTTGGGATCTTGTGCTCGGATCCGGATTGTGTGCAAGGACTTTCGCCAACAACTGAGGCTCTCCTTCAATTTTGTCGTGCATTGGCAAAGGACCTTTGAGCCGGCCCACTCGTGACGGAATATCGCTACTATCGACAGAATATGAGTATTTCCCAAAATAGGGGAGCCCCTTTTATATTCCCAAACAGAAAAGAATCCCCTTAAAGGGACCCCCATGTTCGGAAACCCCCACATCTCTTGCATGCGAAGATCGTTTGACCCAGCCCAGTCATGACGGAGTACGTATCACTACTGCAGAAGCCCCAAATCCTAAATCCTCCCGCGATAGCTTTGTACGCGTCTTCGCTGGGCCCTTTGGTTTAAACTCCTTCGATATCGGTGAGGCCCGCAGACCCTGACAGTCTGCGCCTATCGGGCTGGTGTTCAGAGCAGCTGGAGCTGTAAACCCGAACTAGACTAGACCCTTAATCCCGCCATTTTTGCAGACTTCTGCTCTGACGCTCCACAGCACAATCCCAAACGGGGTGCTCTACATGGCGCCGATGGCTCCGTCAGTTCTGCTGTGCAGATCCGGACGCCGCGCAGGTCCGGGGTGGCTGCAGAGAGAGGGGCTTAGGACGAAGGCGCAAATGCCGAAGCTACTTTAGGGTTTAGGGTTTAGGGATCAACTCTTCTGATAAAGCTTCAAAATTCCGAAGCTTGGACCCGCCTCTGGACCACCTAGCGCAGATCCTGCAACCAACAACCGCACAAGGATGTGACGAGGTGAGACAGGCGACTTGACCATCACTCTTTGCCGTCATAACAGTTGTTTCGCGTATGTTTTCGGGCTTCAGATTGCAAGCACTCTCCACCCCGCACCCTCTCCCCCATCCAACTCTCAACCGCCCGACTGACTAACCATTTGTTAGGATGTAGGGTTTACAGGGTTTGCGGGGTTTACAGGGTTTACAGGTTTTGCAGGGTTTGCTAACAGGGTTTAGGGGTTAGGGTACGCGATACACCCTTTAAATTACCTTTGCCTAGACCAACCCTGCTTGCCTCAAACTTTAAACCCTCCGCCTTCCCCCCCCCCCCCCCCCCCCCACACACACTTTTCGTCCCGAAGTTGAACTAATTTAGGAGTGTCTGTCAGTGCGTTGTAAGGCAGACACAACCCGGAGACCTTGACACTTTCATTTCAGGCGTGGGGCTTTCGGCGTTCAAATCTCAGAAAGTTGGGGCCGGGGTTTTAGGTTAAACCCTAAACCCTAAACCCTAAACCCTTTAGGGTTTTTCGGGTTTCAAGCAGGCGGAAGAAAGGAAGACTTGCCCTCAACCATGTCTTGGGCATATTCGCCCTAAACCCTGAACCTCTGAAGTAGCTAAGGCACCCTAAGCCCTACACCCTAAACCCTAAACCCTAAACCCTAGACCCTAGACCCTAGACCCTAAACCCTAAACCCTAAACCCTAAACCCTAAACCCTAAACCCTAAACCCTAAACCCTAAACCCTAAACCTTTCTTTCAGGCACAGGGTTACAAGCCTTTTGCGGCAGCCTGTCACCGCTGCAGGAGTGGGGGGAGGCTAGCCCAAGACTCAGATTGCCAGGTTTAGGGTTTAGGGTTTAGGGTTTAGGGTTTAGGGTTTAGGGTTTAGGGTTTAGGGTTTAGGGTTTAGGGTTTAGGGTTTAGGGTATAGGGTTAGGGTTCAGGGTTCAGGGTCTTGGGTCTAGGGTCTAGGGTCTAGGGTTTAGGGTTTAGGGTTTAGGGTTTAGGGTTTAGGGTTTAGGGTTTAGGGTTTAGGGTTTAGGGTATAGGGTATAGGGTTAGGGTTCAGGGTTCAGGGTCTTGGGTCTAGGGACTAGGGTTTAGGGTTTAGGGTTTAGGCTAAACCCTTTTGTTTTCTGGGGGGCCGGGCCTTTCTTTGCATGTTTTACTGGTAATGGGTCTGGCTTTGAAAGAGGCAGAGGCCAAAAAGCATCTGGCTGGGTGTTGAGTTTAGGGTGTAGGGTTCAGGGATTTGGCCTTAGCGTGCCGGGTTCCCAACAAAAATCCTAAACCCTAATCCCTGCAACCCTTAGACCCTAAACCAATGCCCATCATTACGACAACAGGGGACCGCTAATGTAAGCTCCCAAATACTAGGTTTCCCTTCTACTAAGGACCCCCATAAGGAACACCCCCCCCATGATTAGCTGCACGAAACTCCTCCTTATCCCCATATCCCCTGGACCTTCAGCCGCTGTGGAGCTGCAACTCCTGAAGCCCTACAGCCCTAAAGCCCTGAACTTCCTGAAGCCCTGAGACCCCAAACCCCTTGCAGCCCACTCCGTCTGGGATTCAACCTACAGAGGTAGGCTTTAGGATTGTAGGCCCAAACCCTAAAGCCCTAAACCCTAAGCCCTAAACCCTAAACCCTAAACCCTAAGCCCTAAGCCCTAAGCCCTAAACCCTAAACCCTAAACCCTAAACCCTACAGTCCTTTGAGGGGATGGCGCATGGAAGCTGGCGCCGAAGTAGCTCGGAATGCATTGTCGAGAGGAGCTAGGGTTTAGAGAGGTTAGGGTTTAGAGGGTAATGAGGGTTTAGAGGGTTTAGAGGGTTTAGAGGGCTTAGAGGGTTTCGAGGGTTTAGAGGGTTTAGAGGGTTTGGAGGGTTTAGAGGGTTTAGAGGTTTTGGAGGGTTTAGAGGGTTCAGACGGTTTAGAGGGTTTAGAGGGTTTAGAGGGTTTCTAGATTTTCTAGAGTGTCCAGGGTTTAGGGTTTCTAGTGTGTCTAGCGTTTCTAGTGTTTCCAGGACCTGAGGTTTCTAGGGTTTGTAAGGTCTAGGGCCGTCCAGGGCATTCCAAACCCAATATCAGCTACAACTATAGAGGAAATGGTCGGCCTCCTCGCGAGTGGAGTGGCTAAACCCTAAACCCTAAACCCTAAATCCTAAACGAGGGCTCAGGGCGACTATTCTCAGGACTCTTGTGGGGGTGTTGGGCTTGTTAGTTTATTGCTTTTCTTGTTTTTGCTAAGGGTGCTTTTTGTAGACAAGCTTGTGGGGCTGGAGGTCACCTTTCAATCTGATGGTTTAGGGTTTAGGGTTCGGTTTTAGGGTTTAGGGTTTAGGGAGTTTAGGGGTTAGGGGGGGGGGGTAAGGGGTTAGGGGGGATTAGGGTGTAGTGACCTACCACCAGGGGCTTAGGGTCGACGACCAAAATCAAAACCCTACTTGGAGGTTCATGGTACTTACTAGCCAATTAGAACTGTACTTATAGCCCACTTTCAAGCCCATTAAGTGGCCTAAGGTGGTGATAGGTACAAGTATAATTTCTTAATAAGGCCATGAACCTCCAAGTAGACCTCAACTCTTCAACTCTCTCCAAACCCCGAACCCTTGTAGACCTCCACGCGCTTAACCCGCACGTCGCACGTCTGCACCCTAAACCCTGACCCGTTGAACATTCCAAGATACTGAGCCCCTAAACCCCCCCAAAACTTTAAATCCTGAACCTTGGGATGTTCCCCCCTATGCACCTTAATAGGGTTTAGGGTTTAGGGTTTAGGGTTTAGGGTTTAGGGACTGGACGGAGGGGGGGGGGGTACTAGAGTCCCGCCTATGAAGGACTGTGAGTATAGGGGGAACATCACGACCCCTGCACCCCTAAACCCCACAAACCCTAAACCCAGCACCCCCAAAAGTTCTATCAACCCTGAACTCCTAACCGAAACTCTAAACCCCAAACCCTAAGCTTTCAACCTGACCCCAAAACCCTAAACCCTAAACCCTAAACCCTAAACCCTAAACCCTAAACCCTACACCCTAAACCCTAAACCCTAAACCCCAAACCCTAAACCCTAAACCCTAAACCCTAGCGCTAAACACAACACCAGGTCCCCCCGAGCGGGTTTGGCCAATGAGTTTTTCGCCGCGGAGCGACTCCCGGCTTCTGATGCCTTCGGAGGGCCCTGGGCCCCAGAGACGATCCAAGGGCTTAGGGTTTAGGGTTTGGGGTTTGGGGTTTAGGGTTTAGGGTTTAGGGATACAGGGATACAGGGATACAGGGTTTAGGGTTTGGGGTTTAGGGTTTAGGGATAAAGGGGTTTACGGTTTGGGGTTTCGGGTTTGGGGTTTGGCGTTTAGGGCTTCGAGTTTGCGACCTGAGGTTAGCCAGGCGTTCCAGGGTTGTACATACGTCTAACAAGGATGCCCAGTAGCACCCTTATTCCCTTTTTTGGGGGGTTTAGGTTCCCTTAGAAAACCCCTTTAAGCAAAAAAGGGCACCCTTTTTAAGCCCAGGTTACTGGGCAGCCTAGCTAATAAGGTCGTACCTCTAGCAGGGTCCCCCCAACATAGCATTTTCATGGACACCATATCAGTCCCAGAACCCAAGGGTACAACCTTATGGGTACAACCCTGAATTAGGGTTTACGGCGGCCTAAGATTTACGGGGTTAGGGTCATTGGGGTTGAGGGTTCTTGGGGTGGCAGAGGGGTTTGGGGTTGTGGGGTTACTATTCACTGCTTTGGGTTAAATTCGGGGAATTGGGGTTCGGGGTTCTTAGGCCTTAGGGCTTCGGGTGTAAGGTTTGTTTCGGGTTGAGGGCCTGGGGGCTTTGGGCCTTCGATCTTGGGGTTGAGAGTTTAGGGTTTACGGTTTAGGGTTCAGGGAGGTTAAGGACGGTTCTTGAGGACCCACAGAAGTCCCAAAGGATGCAACCCTGAGCCCACAAGCCTTACCTGGGGATGGAGCCGAAAGCCTTCCACATTTCTTCCTCTTGGCCGCGGCAGGGCGGGCACACCCCAAACCTGAATCCCTTACCTTAACCCTAAACCCTAAACCGTAATCCCTCTCTGTTTTTTTGTTTTTGATTTTTTTGCTCTCTCTCTTTCTCTATCTATAAGGGTAGTTATATAGGCCCTTAAACAACGGTTCTGACGTATGGGCCCTTGGGTTTAGGGTTTAGGGTTTAGGGTATATAAGGGATACATAAGGGGTAAATCAGGGGACCCCTTTTAAGGGCCCATACGGAGGGACCATGTAACTGCCCTGCGACTCCGTAGTGTGCAAGCAACAGACCATTGCTGCATGCACATGTGGTTTTTGCTACGGCGCTCCTCCCTAAACCCTAAACCCTAAACAATAAACCCTATACCCTAAACCCTAAACCCTAAACCCTAAACCATACTTCAAGGCCTTCGCAGCTTCCCTTCACAACCCCATGAAAATATTTCGTTCTAAAGAAACCGCTAACTCCTAAAAGCCCTGCAGAGGGGCCGCAGTGGCACCCTTGCTTCTTTTCAGGGCTAAGGTTTTGGGTTTTTTAGGGTTCAGGGTTTAGGGTTAGGGTTTAGGGTTTAGGGTTTAGGGTTTAGGGTTTAGGGTTTAGGGTTTAGGGTTTAGGGTTTAGGGTTAGGGTTTAGGGTTTAGGGTTTAGGGTTTAGGGTTCAGGGTTCAGGAAACCACCACGAACACAAAAGCGCACACAGAAAGGGCTTCGGCCCTGGGATGTAGCAACGGCAGGAGTCCTGTAGTGCCCTTACTTCAGTCTCCGGTTCCCTTCTTTTGGGGTTTAGGGTCCAGGGTTTAGGTTTGGGGTTTAGGGTTTAGGGTTTAGGGTTTAGGGTTTAGGGTTTAGGGTTTAGGGTTAGGGTTTAGGGTTGGGCAGCAACCTCCCGGAAGTCCCCAAACCCTCGAGCCCCAAGTGGTTGTGGTGGCTCTGAGGCCGATGATGTTCGGCAGGGCTCTCGCGAGCGACATGGCAGGAATCTACCGGGAGGACCGGGGTTGCAGGCTTAGGGTTTAGGGTTTAGGGTTTAGGGTTTAGGGTTTAGGGTTTAGGGTTTAGGGTTTAGGGTTTAGGGTTTAGGGTTTAGGGTTTAGGGTTTAGGGTTTAGGGTTTAGGGTTAGGGTTCAGGGTTCAGGGTTCAGGGTTCAGGGTTCAGGGTTTAGGACCGCTTAATATAGACTCCGAATAGTAGGATTCCCTGAATAAGGACCCCCATAAGGTAAACCCCCTTTCAAATTTCGGAAACCTGCATATGTAGAGCTGAGGGTACGTAGAACCCTGCATATGTAGGGCTTAGGGTAGAACACTAGGGCGCTCGCCCCTAAATCCGCAACTCTGAAACCTAAGTCTATCAAATTTACTTATTGCAGTATTTGCATATTTAATCATATAACTTCAAGAAGTACTGTTCAATGACAAGGTACTGATCCAAGTTTTATTCCCTGCTGTTTGTGCGCCCAAATAAGCTGAAGGATCCGAGTGAGCCACACGCAATGTCTACTCTTTTTGTCTTGAGGGTTTAGGGTCGACTTGAGAAGGTTCATGGGTAGTTCGGGTAGGGTTATAAGAAATGCAACCTATGTTACAACCTCAAGCTGAAAGCCCGAAACGCTTCCACCCCCCCCCACCCACCCACCCCCCTCACCCCCCCCCCCCCCTACAAATCTGGGTTCACAAGATGCTTCTTGGAGGATCAGGGGGGCTTCGTAAGTAGTTATGAAGTAGTGTTCAAGCATCAGGGTTTGGGGTTTAGGGTAACCTTAACACGGAGCCCAGAGTTTTCAGCCTAGGTTTAGCATGCGGAGTGTTTTTGTTTGGGGCTTCAAAGATGTAAGGATTCTTTGGTCTGCGTTTTTAGGCTTTAGAGTTTAGGGTTTATAAGGTTTAGGGTTTAGGGTTTAGGGTCATCTGTAGGTTTCAGGTGGGTGGTAGTTTTGGATCGCATGACGAGAGGACATGACACCACTGCTCGAAAATGAGCCGCTTGCCGAGTTTGGACGAGTGGTGGGGTGCTGTGCCCCTACATCCTTAGACCCTAAACCCTACACTAAAAAGTCAGGCCTTGTGGAGGTTTATGATTCACTATCGTTCCAATATGTGAAGGTCTGCGGTTGGAGATCCCCCCCCCCCCCCTCCCCCTCCCCCACCACCCGCAACAGCAACAGCTCCCAACAACCACCCCCCAACAACAGCCCCCGCAACAATATCAACCCCCAACAGCAACGCAACAACCCCCAACAGCAACCCCCAACAACAACTCCCGACAACAACCCCCAACAACCACCCCCCAACCACAACCCCCCAAACCGCCACCCCAGTACCTGCAGGCTCTAGCCCCCAAACCCAAAACCCGAGGCACCTGCAAACTAAACCCTAAACCCTAAACCCTAAACCCTAAACCCTAAACCCTAAACCCTGAACCTAAACCCTAAACCCTAACCCCTAAGCCCTAAGCGCTAAGCCCTAAGCCCTAAGCCCTAAGCCCTAAGCCCTAAGCCCTAAACCCTAAACCCTAAACCCTAAACCCTAAACCCTAAACCCTAAACCCTAAACCCTAAACCTAAACCCTAAGCCCTAAGCCCTAAGCTCTAAGCCCTAAGCCCTAAGCCCTAAGCCCTAAGCCCTAAGCCCTAAGCCCTAAGCCCTAAACCCTAAACCCTAAACCCTAAACCCTAAACCCTAAACCCTAAACCCAAACCCGAAACCCTAAACCACTGGCTCAAAGCCTCAGCCTAAATTCTGCAACCCCTGCAGCATCCCAATGCCGCTCAAAAAGGCGTGATCTGCACTTGGGAGCCAGACCCTCGGTAGTTGAGTGGTAAGGGGCTCTATAGGGTCTAGGGGTTTAGGGGGTTTAGCAAGTTTAGGTTTAGGTTTTAGGGTTTAGGGTTTAGGGTATAGTTGGGTGTTTTTCGCGCTCTAGGTTCTAGAGTTTCTTGCTCTAGCTGAGTGGTACCCTTTTGCCCTTTTTGTGTTTATGGTCTCCCTTCTCAAAGGAACGAACACCAAAAAGGGTACCCTCATTGCACAATCATACGTTTACTTGGCTATCAAGGACCATGAAGGAAGTGAGCCTGGGTACTCCGATGGTGCCAGGAGTGCAGCAGCCAGCTCTGGTTCCTGGGTTGCAGCCGATGCGGGCAACTCTGCCCGCCTGCTCGACTGCCAGCTCAAGGACAAACATGGGTTTGGAAATAGGGTTTAGGGTTTAGGGTTCAGGGTTTAGGGTTTAGGGTTTAGGGACTTCGACAATCCATTATACGGGTTCTGAGAACAGAGCAGCATCAGGCCCTTTGCCAAGCCCAAAGACAAGAAGCCGGCCGCACCCCCACCGCCCCCGCCCCCACCGAGACCAAGAGCGCTCGCAATTTTGGATGAAGCCCTTGATGCCCCCCCCCCCCCCCCCCCCCCCCACTCCAAGCGGGGGCACAGCAGAGCGCTGGATGGCGCATGTCGCCAACATGGGCAAGATCCACATGACGTTCTATCCAGGCGGTGGCGACGAATGGGAGGAGGATGAGGCAGTCCGCAATTTGTTTACGACAGGCAAGCCGAAGTTTTGCAAGATGCAATGCACTTCGCACACGGAGCGTCTCCAACTCGCATTGTTGGACCAAAAGCACGGAATGGACGCAGCTTTCCTCAAAGCAAAAGAGAAGTCCTTCCTGGATGCGATGAACCAGGATGCAAAGCGCAGAATGTTCTTCCTCACAGATGAGGACATGGCCATCTTGGACGAGACAAAGGAAGGTGAAGACATGAAAATGCCAAGCTTGCCATCTTCGTCCTCGTCAGCAAAACAGAAGACGCATCCCTACCCTTTGTCCGAGCCTGTGGAGCACCCAGGGGAGGTAGCAGACATCATCAAGGACACTGTGAGTCGATTCTTCAGTCTTGTGTTGTCCCCATGAGACCGGCCAAGTGAGTAGTACCCTGATTCTTTTACGTTAGGCTGCCGTCGGAGAATAATTCGTGTGGCTCGCCTTTAAAAATTACTTGCCGATCCTCTCCGTCGCTTTTGACTTCAGATAAACTCATCCCTTTTCAAAGACAAACCTCAGGTTGGGTGGTGGAGCGAGGGGAGGACGGGGAGGGACGGGGAGAGGAACGGGGTTCAAAGACTAACCTCAGGTTGGGTGGAGGAACGGGGGAGGACGGGGAGGACGGGGGGGAGGGACGGAGGAGCCCGCATCGTTGCGCTCCAGGTTACAATTACAATCCTCAACCCTGCCATGCCAGGCAACCGCTTAATCCTTTTGGGAGGGCTTTCAATGTCACCTTGCTCAGCCCAGGTCTCAGATGTTCTTGGTAGCCGACAGTGGCTGTAGACTCGGGGATAGGGGGACAGCGCAGTGTTGGGGGATGTTCTGTATGGTCTAGAGGGCAAAAGTTAAAGTTCCAGGGACCCTAGTATCTGCGCAACGCCGAGAGAGAGTACGTAGACCGGAGTCATGAGCCACGGACAACAAGCGGGAAACATGACCCGCCTGCGCGGTCCTTCTGATTTGGGCACCTGCTTTGGAAAACGAGAGATGAAGACAGAGACTAGTATCTCACAAAGTCAGTCCTTGCCGGTCCCTGCGTTCCATGAATTCGTTTGTTGTCGACAGAGACGGAGGGCCAAAGTTTTCGGAAGTCCTTGCATCGGTAAACGAGACCTGTCGTCTCTGACTCTAGGGTTCAGGGTTTACAGTAGGGCTCTGGTGCTCGGATCGGGGTTCGGATGATTTGCCGTGCCTTTGTGCAAGGACACACACAATAGATCTGTTGAGGCTCTCCTATGATTTTCCGTCGTGCGTTGCACAAGAACACCAAGAGCAGGTAGAACGTCTTCCGCCCACTCAGGACGGAACAACGCTACTGCAGCACCCCAAACGGCACTAACCCCTCAGTGGTAACTTGACACATCTTTCGCAATCTTTGATTCTTGCATCCGAAGATTGTTTGAGCCGGCAACCCTAAATCCTAAACCCTCCGCAGTAGCTGGACACGTCTCAGGCGGGCCATTGTTTTGACTGGAGTCGATGTCTGATAAGGCCTACAGACTTTGGCGGTCTATCGGCCTTGGGCTGATGTTCAGAGCAGCTGGATCTGTAAACCCGAACTTGACCCTAAACCCTAAACCCTAAACCCTAAACCCTAAACCCTAAACCCTAAACCCTAAACCTTTGTCAAAATCTTAAATTATAAACCTCCTACCAGTCTTGCAGCCTTAGCAATTTTTCAGCTCCGGCGCTCCACGACATCACGCTCTCAAAGGCTCTCTGGTCGAGGTACACGGAGGGCCCCCTTACTACACTAACTGTAGTTAAGGGCCTTCGAACCTAATTTAGGATCCTTATAACCCAATTTAGGGTTCTTATAGCTCTACTTATAACTACGAGGGCCCCTCCTTGTAGTGCATGGAGCTGTCATTTCTGCTCTGCAGACATAGCGAGGTTCGGGGTGGCGGGTGGCGGCGCAGGGGGAGGCTTAGGACGAAATCGCAAATCTCGAAGCTGCCAGGGTTTACGGTTTAGGGATAACTCTTAATTATGACGAACCTTCAACATTCCGAAGCTTGGACCCGCCACTGGACCACCCAGCGCAGATCCTGATAGCAATAGGCTCACATGTGACACTGCAGGCGAAGCTGTTGATGTCGACATCGCGCTCTGCCGTCACAAAAGTCGCGCATATGTGTTATATGGGTTGGGGGTCTAATTTTAGTAGGGTGTCTGTTTTATAGGGACATATATTGAGGGCTCTTGTTGGGGTATCTAAACCCTAAACCCTGAACCCTAAACCCTGATTATATGGGCAACAGATAACGAGGCCACCGGCCTTTATAACATATGTGGCGTATAGCAAGGAGGTTCCTGGATCGACCCGTCCTGCGAGTTTAGGGTTTAGGGTTTAGGGTTTAGGGTTCAGGGTTTAGGGTTTCGGGTTTAGGGTTTAGGGTTTAGCAACTAGGACCGGTTAGTTGGAAAAGTACGGACTCGAAACCCGAACGCCTTTCGGTTTAGAGTTTAAGGATTTAGGGTTCATAGGGATCATGGGGTTTAGGGTTTACAGTGTGTCATTACATGGTTCAGCTTTAGAGTTTATGGGATTTGCGGTTTAAGGTGTTTGTAGGCCTTCCGGTTCAGGTAGTAGCCTCCACGCTGCTCCTAAACTGCGTGCCACGGCCCTCGCTTCCTGAAGCTCTGCACGACTTATTTTGTAGGCTGATTCTGCGGCCTTTAAAGTCATGTCAAGGGTCTTACAGGGCTGCCTGTGTAGAGTTTATGGTTCAGGGTTTTAGGAAAAGACAGCAAGTCCTGCTTGCTAAACAACACGCAACAGCACACCAAAACTCACAAGTTTGGAATCTTAAATCCTTGCCTATAAAGGGATTTCTGCACATATACACCTGCTCCAACATTGCTACTCTGCTGCCACTATCTCTCACCAGAATCTTCATCATTCCACGGTCGCTATCCACTCCCTACAAGTAGCTGGATCTAGGATTCGGTGCAGGGCATATAAGGTTTAGGTACCCTAAACCCCAAACCCTGGGCCTGAACCCTAAATCCTAAAACCTAAGCCCTAAACCCTAAACCCTAAACCCGAACCCAAACCCCTAGACCCTAGACCTTGAATCCCTGAACCCAAGCCCTGTCCAGGTGGGTGTTCATGTTGGAGGACATGCTGTGGTCCGCGCATGTGGCTTCCGTGAAGCAGCGGAGGCGGGATTCCCTAAACCCTAAACCCTAAACCCTAAACCGCTTGTATGCATTGAAAAGGGACCCATATGATTTCAAAAGGGGTGAGATTGTATGAAATTAAAAGGGATCCATACGATTTCAAGAGGGATGAGTTTATACGAATTTAAAACGGATTCATATGATTTGTAAGGAATCCACATGATTTTGAAAGGGATGAGCTTATATGAATGCCAAGGGGGTCCATCTATCCCAACCAAGCCAGCCCGCAAAAGAAACAACAAATAAAATGAAATAATATACATATATCTACACACATGACCGAACGTGTTATTTACGGCATTCGGGCAGCTGCTGGACGACCCCCTTTGAAATTTGATTGCCTGCCTCGGAAATCTTAGCTTTGGGGCTGGCCTGGAGACATAAGAATTCAGGGCCCGACAACCTGAATTCAGGGCCCGACAACCTCAGGCCTCAAGGCTTCAGGCTTTAAACCTTTGCTCAGGCTCAGATCTTTGGTCTCTCAGGCTCAGTTCAGAAGCGATTTCTAGACAACAGCTCCATTCAGCAGCCTCACCGAAATTTTGCATCGCCCGATTTTTTCTCACAATTCCGGGAGACTTCCTCAAATAGACCCCGCTGAATAATTTTAATTGGATTTTTTCACAATTCCGGGGGACCACACTAGTCAGTCTACAACACTAAGCCCGAAGCCCCCACAAGGAGCGCCCCCCCGCCCTCCCCTTCCCCCCCCCCCCCCACGTTGCAAGTAGAGTTCTAAGGGCCCCTATTAATTGGGATAGAAGGATTGTAAATTTCGTTATAGGTCCCTTAACTATAGTTAGTATAGTGAGGGGGCCCGAAACCCTAAACCCTAAACCCTAAACCCTAAACCCTAAACCCCCTGCTTATAAACCCTATAGGCCCTAGATGCTTAGGGCAGTAGTGCAAATCCTCACTCCAGGCTGGTGCGTGGCACCACCATTGTTGATGCGTCTGGCCGCTCGTCTTTGACAGTCAGGGTTTAGGGTTTAGGGTTTAGGGTTTGGGGTTTGGGGTTTGGGGTTTGGGGTTTGGGGTTTGGGGTTTAGGGTTTGGGGTTTGGGGTTTGGGGTTTAGGGTCCGGCATCAGGGTCATGGGAGTAGAACTTTTTAAGGCTACCTGAAGTCCGAAACCCTAAATCCTAAACACTAACCGCAAGAAGTGCCAATGGAGGGTTCATGGTTGGAGCAGTCGAGCTTGGTTGTCCGAATTTGGCATTTCAGAACTCAGGGGAGGCGCAGTTTCGGATCAGGATGCATTCTCATCAGGCATGCGTGAAATCATCCTCAATCCTAAACCCTAAACCCTAAACTGCCGGGAGGGGGGGGGGGGGGCGCGCCCAAACCCATTCAGCTCAACACCCTAGGGTTCAGGATTTAGGGTTTATGGGGTTTCGGGCTACATCTGCGGTTGCTGCTCTTGAACTCTGAACTCCAAACCCCACGCCTCAAACAAGGTGCCTTGCAGGTCTTAGTGTTGTGCAGTATTCTCGGCCGCCCTCAGTGCTTCGAAAGGGGTCTTTGGAGTGTAATAACCCTCAATCCGAAGGCCCAAGCCCTACAACCCAAATTCTCAAGTCTACTCTCCCTCCCCCCGCCGAAACCCTAAACCCTAAACCCCAAACCCTAAACCCCAAACCCTGAACCCTCCTCAACCTCTCAGGCCTCTCGCTGTCAATTCTGCGATACCTTCCCAGTTATAAGCCCTGGTTGGTCGCCGCTCGGCTCAGGCTCAGGAGGGGCTTTTGGGCTTAGGATTTTTGTCATGGGTTCCCCTACTACCCCCCCTCCCCAAAATATATATATATATATATATACTACTTTGAGGGTTTAGGGTTTAGGGTTTAGGGTTTAGGGCTCCCCCTAGGTTCACCCCCATAAAGAACCTTTTTTAGGTTTAGTTGTCCCTATATCGCCTTAATCATGGGGGTAACCTAAAGGGGGAGGTAGTAGAGGGGGTAGCAGGGGATCCCATGGATTTAGGCTGTCGGAGGGCTTTGCGGAAGGATACGCCTTGTATGGCCCCAGCACTCCCTCAGGGGTTCTAAACACCTGAAACCCTAAACCCTAAACCCTAAACCCTAAACCCTAAACCCTAAACCCTAAACCCTAAACCCTAAACCCTAAACCCTGACCTCCTAAACCCTCAACCCGACTCCGGGCACTTTAAAGCAAACCCTGAAGAGTCCACCCAAACCCAAAGGGGGGCAAGGAGGAATCTTCAGGGGGGTGTCGGGTGTTTGGGTCAAACCCTAAACCCTAAGCCCTAAACCCTATAAGCCCTAACCCTGACTGAAACCTAAGCCCAGGGTTTTCTCAGGTCTTTTTTAGGGGCTAGATTTTTTTAAGGGGTGGGGCCCGCAGATCGCTTTGCGGGCTAGGGTTTAGGGTTTAGGGTTTAGGGTTTAGGGTTTAGGGTTTACCCGGCTTTGCGGGTTTGTAAGGGTAGTTGTATTGGGGTTTCCGAACATAGGGGACCCCTACTTTTGACCCCAATGGAGAAATTTTCTTGATAATAAGGACCCCAATAAGGTGCCCCTAATTTCGGAAACACCTACGTGGTCCCTTAACATGGTCCCTTACCTTCTTTAAAGGGTTCTGAAGTATGGGGTTGTGGGTTTTGGCCATATAAAGGAACCATGTAACTACCCCTAAACCCTAAACCCTAAACCCTAAACCCTAAACCCTAAACCCTAAGAGGGTTTGGAGTCTACGGTGCCCTGTAAGCGCAATACTTCGCCGATTGAGCCCGGCAGGGCAACGTTCTCCTGAGGTACCCTTTGTGTTAGGCCTTAGGGTTTCGGGTTACTCGTTGTGACCTAAGCCTTGAAGATTCCTAAACCCTAAACCCTAAGCCCTAAACCCTAAACCCTAAACCCTAAACCCTAAACCCTAAACCCTGTGCTTCACAGGCCGGCTTCTGGCTTCCGAAACCCATGTCAAGGAGATAGGTGAGGCCCCCCCCCCCCCCCCCCCCCCCCCCTAGCATGTTAGGGATCCGTTAGGGCACCCAAAAAGGGTTTAGGGTTCAGGGTTGAGGGTTTAGGGTTTAGGGTTTGGGGCAGTTTGGGGTTTGGGGTTTAGGGTTAGTTTGAGAACTGACCAGAGCCCGGAAACGCATGTTTGGGGGTCGCCCTAAACCCGAAACCCTAAACCCTACACCCTCAATCCTAAACCCCAACGTGGTCATGCCCAAGGTCATGAATGAGTTCTATCCGGACTTGGTGAGAGCAGTTCTTGTGTACTTGGCAGCAAGCAAGTTCCCTAAACCGTAAAGGGCGCTTCAGGGTTTAGGGTTTAGGGTTTACGGCTTAGGGCCCAACAAGGGCCCAAACGCCCTCAACTTCCCAAAACCTAAACCCGTAACCCTTGACACCTCCAAACAACCCTTTCTCAAGCCGCCTCAGGCGGCTTAGGGTACTGTCAGGGTTTAGAGTTCAGGGTTTGAGGCAGATGTTGCACTAACGTTGTTGGTGAGTGTCCATCTGCTTCCGAGATCCAAGCCCTCCCTAAACCCTAAACCCTAAACCCTAAACCCTAAACCCTAAACCCTAAACCCTAAACCCTAAACCCTAAACCCAGTTGTGGTGCTTGGGTCTTAGGTGTAAGGGTCCTAGCGCTCCCGAGTCTTAGGGTTTCGGGCTTGCTCTCCTAAGGCCACCCCCCCTCAAAAAGCAAGTAATAACAATAATTCAACAAAATAAATAAGCTTTTAAATACATCAATAAATTTTAAATATATAAATAGATAAATAAATGAATAAATAGAAAACAATATATATATATATATATAGATACATTTATGTAAAAAAAAAAAGTAAAAATACAAGGAGAACAGCCACATCCTAGGCCGAAGAATCTGAACCCAAGAGTCGCCAAAGCCTAAACCCTGAAATTTGAGGGGTTGAAGCGTTTTAGGGTTTAGGATTTTGGGTGAAACCCTGAAGCCCTGAACTCTAGAACCAAGCTCTGACCCAAAACCGTGCGTGCAGGTTCATGGGTACTTACAAGCCCAGTGATAGGGTTTAGGGTTTAGGGTTAGAACCCGAAGTGTAAGTCTACTGATAACCTGCTGAGAGGACTTAGGGGGCTTGTAAAGGGAGCTATAATTGGGGTTATAAGTACCCTGAACCTCCAAGTGAGGGCGAGGGTTGCGTCTAGCACAAGTCACGTTTGGGGTTTAGGGTTCAGGGTTTAGGGTAACTTGGGGTGTAGGGCAACTTAGGGTTCAGGGTCTTTCCCCCTGTAAGTGTAAGGTTGCGGGGTTTGTGTGGAGGTGATCAACGCTCCGTCGATCTTCGTTGAGATTTGGCGTTTTTTGTCTGTGCTGCTCGCTCCGGTGACGAGGGAGACGCTGGGAACAGAGTTAGGGTTTAGGGTATAGGGTATAGGGTTTAGGGTTTAGGGTTTAGGGTTTAGGGTTTAGGGTTTAGGGTTTAGGGCTACTAGGAACCAGCGGCGGCTTCTACTCCCTCTTTTGTTAGGGTTTAGAGGGCACCATTTTTCTTCCTAGGCTACTCTTCAGTCTAGTTTGGATTTGGGCTAATCAGGCTTCTGACCAGGTTGAGGGTTTGGGGTGTAAGGTTTAGGGCTTAGGGTTACCTAAACCATCCGAAGTCCTAAAGACCAGCTCGGGCAGACCGCCCCCCATCTTCACCCGCTATCTACCCAAACCCTAAACCCAAAACCTACCCCCTCTGCCCCCCAAAAACCCTCTAAGCCATCGATATTACTGACTCAAACCCTATAGAGCCACGTTAGGTTGGAGTTTCGGGCGCAGAGGATTTTTATAATTATAGGGCTTGTAGGCTTGTGGGATCTACGGGTTAGGGTTCAGGGTTCAGGGTTCAGGGTTTCGGGCTTGTAGGACCTACAGTATACAGGGCTTCTTGACGTTGAGGGCTTATGAGGCTAGCAGGGCGGAGAGGGTGTATACGGTTGAGAGGGTATACCTAGACCCCCCAAGTACCTTTCAAGATTCCCTTTATACACCCCCCCCCCCCCAAATAACGTACACATAGGCGCTCTTTAGGGGAAACTTGGGGTAAGGGGGGGGGGGGGGGGGGGGGGGGGGGGGGGCACCTAAGGATAGTTGTATGGTCCCTTTCCTCCTTTACAGGGTTCTGAAGCATGGGCCCTTGGGTTGTATGGGGTATCCTTTTCAAGGGCCCATGCTAAGGGATCATGAAACTCCCCTGAGATACTTGGGGTCAAGGTGCCCTTAATGTACTCCTAAACATGGCCCCTATTTACCTAAACCCTAAACCCTAAACCCTAAACCCTAAACCCTACAAAGGGTCCCCAAACCCAAGGGTGCAACCTTAGGGGTCCAAGGTAGAATCCCATGAAGGGCTTACGGCTGTGTAAGAATTGACGGACCATGAACACCATAAGCACACCCTGCAAACCCAAAGCCTTATAGACCTAAAAGTTTCCTAAACCCTAAACCCTCAACCCTAAACCCTAAACCCTAAACCCTAAACCCTAAACCCTAAACCCTAAACCCTAAACCTTTTTTTGGGGGCTTGCCTTCCTGTGACAGCCCTACGCTTCTCAAGGAAAGTTCGAATCTTTGGCTCCGATTTCGAGGCCTCGCTCCGTGAGTATGATGCTCGGCGGCGGTTTAGGGTTTAGGGTTTAGGATTTAGGGTTTAGGGTTTGGGGGGGGGGGGTCATTATTATTTTTGTTTTTAAGTTTCTTTTGTGTTTAAGGTTTTTGTTTCTTGCCCTCCTGTGACAGCCCCACCTCACCCACCGGACCCACCCACCCACCCACCCCTAAACCCTAATAACCCTAAACCCTGAACCTTAAACCCTAAATCCTAAACCCTAAGCCCTAAACCCTAAACCCACCCCCCACCCACCCACCCACCCATAGCCCAGCCATAGCCTCGCGGGGCCTTACTGCCTTGGCTACCTGAACCCTTTCCGGGTTTAGGGTTTGGGGTTTAAACCTTGGACCCTAAGCCCGAAGCCCTGAACGGTCAACCCCCGGCTAGGGACGGCCATGACTGCCATGACACCTAAGTTGTCCATCATCTCAAGGGCTTAGGGATTTGAACCAGCATCAGTGGACCCAGCCCCAAAAAACCCTTGGCCCAAATCCTAAAGAAGCCGAAGTGCCCTCAGCATCGCGAAGCTCCTGGACTCTAAACCCCTAAACCCTAAACCCCTAAACCCAAAACCTCGGAACCCCTAGACCTAAATACCCTGTAGGCAAGCACTTGGCATATTTTGCGTGTTCTTTTCCTGGGTTTAAGGGGAGCAAGTTTAGGAGCCTGTTTTCAACCTAAACCCTCAACCCTAAACCCCTAAACCCCCTATCCTGGAGTCGCCCCTCAGGGCGTCGACCCCGAGACGCTGCCTGCCTACCTGGGTGGACAATATCAGGCCTTTCTGTGGCTTTGGGGTGTTGGGCTCCAGTGTCGGATGTTTACGTGGACCATCTCAGGCCGGTTGTGGCTTTTGGGGGGTATCGGGCTTCGGGTGTAGGATGTTTAAGGGGAGTTTGGGGTGTTGGGGTGGTCAGGGCGTTTAGGGTGGGAAGGTGCGCAGAACGTGTAGAATTGCTCAGCCTGCTGCAAGAACGAACGCAAACCCAACGAACGCAAACCCGAACCGACAGCCTTGCCCCAAACCTCCAAAACTGCCAAAACCCCCTAAACCTAACAAAAAAGGCCAACAAAAACCCAAAAAGCCCAAAAACCCTAAACCCCTAAACCCCCTAAACCCCCTAAACCCCCTAAACCCCCTAAACCCCCTAAACCCCCTAAACCCCCTAAACCCCCTAAACCCCCTAAACCCCCTAAACCCCTCAGCCCTTTTGACTGCACAGGGTTCGCGGCTGTCTGCCTTGCTCGCCATCCCGCATGGGACGGGCAGAGGCCTTTAGCCCCAGGAGTTGAGGGAGTTCGGGGCCTGGGTTTAGGGTTTAGGGTTTAGGGTTTAGGGTTTTAGGGTTTAGGGTTTAGGGTTTAGGGTTTAGGGTTTAGGGTTTAGGGTTCTGAGTAAGTTCATGGTACTTATTAACATGTTTATCTGTACTTAGAACCCCACTTATAAGCCCCTTAAGTGCCCTAAGATGGTTATAGGTACAGTTCTATTTGGTTAATAAAATCCCCTCCAAGTAGGGCTTTGGGGATTTAGGGTTGAGGGCTTCGAGGTTTAGGGTTAAGGGGTCCAGGTCTTCTAGGCCTAAAGAGCACTTCAGGGCTCTGGGTTTCGGGTTTAGGGTTTGGGCTTTAGGATTCAGGGTTTAGCGTTTAGGGTTTAGGGTTTAGGGCTTTAATTTCGTTCTAGGGCGACAGGCGCTTTGTGCTTTTTTTTTGTTTTTTGGGCGGGGAGGTGTGGGCGAGGTTTGTCCAGGGCTGATGTACGGTTGAGGGTGTATAGGTTTGTTCTTTTTTTGGTTGGGGGGGTTGAGATTACGTGACAGATACATCGCAGAATATCGTCCTATTCGATGATACCGCGACGTCGCCTACAGCTCCATTCGTGGCGCTAAACATAACACTCTGGCAGCGGAACCTGTGGACAGAGGAGATGCGCTCCAAGTTTGCCCGAACAGGGAAGCGGCCCAGTCAGGGGTTTGTGGTTTAGGGTTTAAATCCTGAGTAGCCCGACAACCGTCGCGAGTGTCCCCACACCCTAAACTCTAAACCCTAAACCCTACCCCCTAAACCCTGAACCCTAAACCGGGTCCGAAGCCTGTAGGGAAGTTGGTCCCCCTTTTCAAGACCCCCCACCCCAACCCTAACCCCAAACCCCAAACCCCCGAAACCCCAGACCCCAAACCGCAAACCCCATTCCCTAAACCCCAAACCCTAGACGCTAAACTCTGAACACCACATAGCCAAGACCCCTCAAGCCCAATGCTCCCGAGGGGTGAACCTCACCTTCGGCGGGCAGTGAGTACGGCGCGTCTCCGGCGTTCCGAGGGGGCGTGAGCCCTTAACCGCTAAACCCTAAACCCTAAACCCTAAACCCTAGGGTTAGGGCTTTGATTCTGGTCTGAGGTTTAGGGATTACACCGGGGTGGTTTTGAGGGCCGACGTTTAGAGCTTCAAGGCTTTGAAGGTTTAGGGTTTTAGGGTTTTAGGGTTTTTAGGGTTTTAGGGCTTTAGGGCTTTAGGGCTTTAGGGTTGGGGTTTAGGGCTTTCGGGTTTTAGGGTATGAACCGTTCAGTCTCGTGAGTTTCGGGCAGGCTGGCAAGGAAGAGGGCCGAACTGATAGGGCCCTCAAATAGTCGCTGTAGGGCTTAGGGCTTAGGGCTTAGGGTTTAGGGCTTAGGGCTTAGGGCTTAGGGTGCAGGGCTTAGGGCTTAGGGTTTAGGGTTTAGGGCTTAGGGCTTATAGGGCTTCTGGTTTAGGATGGTTCACGGGTGGCTTTCGGGCTTGGAGTAGGGGATGCGGTTTTGGGGCTTAGACCGGGGTTGTTTTTTGTTAGTACCCCCTAGTCCTTAAATAACCCTTATTAAGCCAAACAAAAATATTGGGCCTAAAACCCTAAACCCTAGTAGAGGGCTCACACAGAGTTCTTGGGGACGAACTTGGACTCCGAAAGGTTTAGGGTTTAGGGTCTAGGGTTTAGGGTTTAGGGTTTAGAGTTTAGGGTTTGGGCTTTAGGGTTTAAATCTAGGACAGTTTCTCGTGGGTAGTTTCCCTTACAAGCGGCTTCTCTAAACCTTGCTTCTGTTGCTATATACGATGCCTATATGAACAGTACCACGCACTTGGAACGGCCCTTCTTATTAACATGGGGGTTTACAAAAACACGGGACCCCTAAGATAGATCCCAAAGTAGTAGGATTCCCTTATAATAAGGACCGAAATAAGGTACCCGAAACCCTAAACCCGAAATCCTCAGCCTTAAACCCTAAACCCTAAACCCTAAACCCTAAACCCTAATAGAACCCTGAAGCCCAACATAGGATTCGAGTGCCCAGTTCTTTTTGGAGTCATTTCAGCCCTCAAGGCGTCCGAGACTTTCTCCAGCTAAGCAGTGCTGTGCACCTCAGGTCTCCACTTTCAGAGGTTCCACAGTTGGGTTTAGGGTTTAGGGTTTAGGGTTTAGGGTTTAGGGTTTAGGGTTTAGGGTTTAGGGTTCACAAGGGTTTATATGGGTTTAGAAGGGTTTATAAGGGTCTACAAGGGTTCAGGGGTTAGGGGTTTAAGGGCTCAGGGGGGGAAGCCCTAAATCCCAAGCCCCTTTTCATGGTCCCTTGGGGGTTCCTTGTATCAAGGTCTCCCCACCTCCCGAAAATGAGTCAAAAGCTACAGCGCCATACGCCTAACTTAATTCCCTAAAGCCAAAAACCTTTGTTCCTGAACCTTGGGATGGCTATTTGAAGCAGGGTGAATATTACTGTTTTTGGTGAGTGTATATAATGTTCCTTTTTTAATTTTGGTGAGTGCATGTACCTGGTGTCCTTTTGGTGGTGCAAGAAATGAATACCCTACGTCCCATCCCTTCTGCTAGGGTGCAGGGCTGTTTCAAGGCACCCCTCTTCCCATTTGCAAGGTAAAGCCCTTAAACCCTAAACCCAAAACCCTAAACCCAAAACCCAAAACCCAAAACCCTAAACCCTCAACCCTAAACCCTAAACCCTAAACCCTAAACCCTAAACCCTAACCCTAAACCCGACTTGAAGGTTCATTTGCATGTAGAAGTAAGGTTAGTTAAGTACCTTAATTACGGCTACCATGAGGGTTGCCTTACTTGCAACCCTACTATTAACTGCCCATGAACCTTCAAAACCCTAAACCCTAAACCCCCCCGGACTTGGGCATCAGCACTGTGAAGCTCCACACTCCTCAGACGAGCCCGAAGCGAAGGGAAAGAGTTCGCGCGTGCGCTCACGCTGCGCTCACGCCGGGCGTGCAGCGAGTCTCTTGGGGGGGTTGAGGGAAACCCTAAACCCTAAACCCTAAACCCTAAACCCTAAACCCTAAACCCTAAACCCTAAACCCTAAACCCTAAACCCTAAACCCTAAACCCTAAACCCTAAACCCTACAAACCCCAAACCCTTGAGGCCCAAAGCTACCTAGCGAGGAGAAGGGGCTGAGACTGAGGGAGCTCTGCCAAAAGGCTGGTTTAGGGCTTGGGGTTCAGGGTTTAGGGTTTAGGGTTTAGGGTTTAGGGTTTAGGGTTTAGGGTTTAGGGTTTGGGGTTTGGGGTTTAGGGTTTGGGGTTTAGGGTTTGGGGTTTAGGGTTTGGGGTTTAGGGTTTGGGGTTTAGGGTTTGGGGTTAGGGTTTGGGGTTTAGGGTTTTTAGGGTTTTCGGTTTAGGGTTTGGGGGGGGTTAGGGTTTGGGGTTTGGGGTTTAGGGTTGGGGTTTAGGGTTTGGGGGGTTTGGGGTTTAGGGTTTGGGGTTTAGGGTTTGGGGTTTAGGGTTTGGGGTTTAGGGTTTGGGGTTTAGGGTTTAGGGTTTGGGGTTTGGGGTTTAGGGTTTGGGGTTTAGGGTTAAGTTTAGGATATGGGAAGGGCTGGTGGAACTGGGAAGCCCCGTAGTGCACCTGGGTGTGGGGCCCAACCCCTGCCCAAGGTGTTCAAGACACACTGAGCCCTCGAATCCCAAGCCCCCAAACCCTAAACCCCAAAACCCGAAACCCTAAACCCTAAACCCTAACCCGCTAAAACCCTAAAACCCTAAAACCCGACACAACCCCTGCCCCTGACCAGTCAGTCATGCTGAAGAAGCACCTGTTCCTCCAGCGAGCTCTCAGGCCGGCGCTGGAGTCTCTTGCGGAAAGGGTTCAGTGTTGAGGCTTGAAGGCAAGGATTTGCTGAAGCATGGGCAGACAGAGAACTGGACGTACGCTGCAGCTTTTTCAGCACCCTAAACCCCAAACCCTATACAACCCTAACACCTAACCCCTAACCTCTGTAGACCCTACACGCGGACACGAGGGTGGACGTGCGAACCCCTGAGCGGGCAGGTGCAGCACGATTCCGGGCCCACGATAGTAGAAATAAGAGAGAACACGAAATGCTGGTGCTCACAAGATCACGATTCGGTGGGTACGAAAATCAGGGACCCCCAAAATAACCCCTCAATTCGTAGGATCGCCTTCTAATAGGGACCGCAATAAGGTACCCCAATTTTGGGAAACCCCAGGTTGAGGTTGTAGATTGAGGTCTAAGGTTATGTTGGCTTCAAACTCTGAAGGAAATTGGATGCTGACCGCCGACTAGGGTTTAGGGTTTATGGTTCGGGGTTTAGAGTTTGGTTGGTGTGTGGGGTTTGGCGTTTAGGGTTTAGGGTTTAGGAGGGTTTAGGGTTTAGGGTTTAGGTTAGGGTTTAGGGTTTAGGAGGGTTTAGGGTTTAGGGTTTAGGGTTTAGGGTTTAGGGTTTAGGGTTTAGGGTTTAGGGTTTAGGGTTTGGGAGGGTTTAGGGCAGTTTTGGGGGGGTTTCAAGCCATGAAGGCTCTGGTGGGCTCGGTGGTTTCGACCGCGGGTGGGTGTCAAGGGATGAAGACTCGAGCCCTAAACCCTAAACCCTAAACCCTAAACCCCAAAGGTTCCCCTTAATATACTCCTAATATGGCCCTGATATACCCTTTGGGATCCTCGGAAAGCGACCCCAAAACCCAAGGGTACAACCTCGAGGGTCCCAGGTAGAACCCCTACTTGGAGGTTCATGGTACTTACTAATCAATTATAACCCTAAACCCTAAACCCTAAATTTAAGAGCCTCCGGCTCAAGCCGCCGACCCCGCAGGAGAAGTTTAAGGTTTCGGGTTTGGTGATTTTGTTTGCGGTTCCTGTTGGGGGGTTGGGGGGGGGGTGGGGGGGGGGGGGGGGGGGGGAGGGGGGGGGGGGGGGGGGGGGGAGGTGGGTGGGGGGGGGGTAAGGGGGGGGGGGCGGTAGGGGGGGGGGGGGGGGGGGTAGGGGGGGGAAAGCTGGCGGGGTACCCCCCCCTACCCCCCCCCCCGGCGTTTTGGGGGGGGTAAGGCCTTTTCCCATCCAACACGCCGCCAGGGTCGGCGGACCCTAAACCCTAAACCCTTATGACCCACTTATAAGTCCCTCAAGTGCCCCAATGTGGTAAAACGTACAGTTATAAGTGATGATGGTTTCTAAGTACCCTGAACCTCCAAGTAGAGGGTGGTAGCATGGTGGCAGTGCGAGGCATGTGCCTGCCAACACCACTGCCAGGATCCCAGCTGTGTTCAGTAGGATTCAGGGTTTTGGGTGTAGGGCTTGGGGTACAAGATCCCGAATCCCGACATGTCTTGTCCCTTGAGCATCGCATACCCGACGACCCGAAATCCAAAATTGGGTTTCGCAGTGCGGGGCGTGTAAGGGGATTTAGGGTTTAGAGTTTAGGGTTTCTTTGGCCTCAGAAATCGTGGACCCGGAGTAGGCCCTTATTCCCTGTTTTAAGGGTCTAGGCTTCCTTATAATCCCCTGTGAACCAACAAGGGTACCCTTTTTATGCCTAGGTTACTTTTGGGTCTAGAGTTTCAACCCCGCAGACCGTAAATTTTCAGGGTTCTAAATCTTAGGGACCCTTGCTAGCCCCACTGAATTAGATCACCCTACCCTGTTTGGGAAGCCCGCTTGTCTGTAGAAGTACCCAGGGTTCCAAGACCTAGGCGTCCTGAATAGAACTGGCTATGTTTCAACTATGGTTTGATACCTAGTTTACTCTTGAGCATACTTGTACGAAACCAAAGGACACATCTCCCTTTTGCTTTCCTTAAGCCATTGCCCAGAACAAAGCCCCCAAACCCTAGACCCTACCTTTAAACCTGAACCCCTAAACCCTACACAGCCCACCTGAATGCCTAACCCCCACACTAAAAGCCTACTAGAATCTAGAAGAAGGCTTATATACAGCCTAACCCCCCCCCCCCTCCCTAAACGCCGAACGGCGACAAATGCTATAAGCCCAAGAACCAAAAACAAGC